CGCTTTTTACTTGGGGCAGGTGCCATCTGCGTTTAAGGAAAATAATTCATACACTTTATGACATATTAAACATTTCGCCTTATTGTTGGTTATGTAATAATTATTTATTATAATATAATCAATTTTCTTTTGTCGAAAGTTACCGATGGTAGAACTTTTTTAAAGATATTCTGATTTTTTTCCTAGAAATTTATTTATAAATTCTATTTTTTCACTATCTATTCTTCCTCTTATCCTCTTATAGTACTACTAATTGGTTTGCATAATATGCGGAATAGTCAAAGTTTTTAGTGAAATAACCAACACGCAAGATAAACATTAACAATTAGCTAAAACCTAAATATAAAAAGTATCTTTAAAGAAGTTTTATCGAAAAAACACTTTCTGTATATTTGAAATTGATTATCTCAAAATCTATGGAACGTACTACAGCCATTTAAAAAATAATTTAATTCTCTACAACTTTTATTTTGATACTTTTTGTTAAAAACATATACTTTTCCTGACATTTGTAAAAATATATAAAATAATCGTAATTTCAGAGGTTTTTAAGTATTAATTTTTTAGGGAAGCATTTTTTGACCCATGTTTATAGGAAACTTTTTATTCAGAATGAAATTTCCTATATAATCTCAAAGTATAGCCGCTAAACATTCGGGGTTATCCTGTATATATTTTTATAATTATATATCCTTCTACTTCATTTACTTATTTTTCGTTTTATAATGATAATTAATTTTTATTATGTAATTAATTTAAATCAAAATATTCGTTCTCTGCTAATTAAATAATAATATATTCATAAACGGATATCAAAACATTCTTGAATTTTCCAGTCGTACGAAGTCAATACAATGAACATATGTGTTATGTCGGCTCATAAAGTCCAAAAATATCATGTTGTATTGAAATGCGATCGCGTTGAGCAAAGTATTGTCAAAAAATAAATTGAAAGCAGTTTGAAATTTTCTATATGAAACGATATATATAAAAAAATTCTCTTGCATCTCCACAGCTCTTATGTATTCAATAAAGCAAAAAACAAGAGCTAAATTTTCGGATTTTTTCTAGATTCCGCAATTGTATAAATTTAAATAGAATGGATTGTAAATAGTATGAGCTAATATTTATTTACGTATCGATACTTTTTATACGTTCATATCGACATATGTACGAAGATATATTGAATGACGATTTTTTAATTTTCTAATCAAATATTTATAATACAATTTTCAAAAAGTTTAGTTCTTCATATAATAACTCTCTTGAAAGATTATATCAATCATCTACAGCTTTTGAATTCTAATATTTTATTTGTTAATTTTATTTCAATGTCATATTTTTGTAAAGTAAGGAGAGACACGCAAAATTTCAGGTTTCTGCATTTGACGTTCTTTTTCCGCCAACATTTTCTCCAAGTTGGCATATCTGCTTTGAGAAACTCTCCCATTTCCGCCCTAGTTAGAAATGTAAAATCGTAATACAACGATTACAAAAGGAAGTAAGAGCGTACAGAATACCGGACATTCGTGAATAATTCCTGAACCTTCACTTAAGTACTAGCCTTTAGAAACAAGAGACATATCGCAGATTATATACACGCAATATACATATATACGCTGTATATTATCATGACAAACTGCAAGACTTTTCATTTTAAGATTAAATGCAAAATGAAAGATAATAAAGTATATGGGTATATATGTAAATAAAAAGAAATTAGTCTTTTTCTGAAACAGATAATGGAAATCATATTTAAATATCAACAAGCAATATGGCGAATATATAGGTACATGATATTTAAATTAAGTTGTCATTTTATAAAATTTTGCATAACCCTTACTATTCGATTACAAAAGGTTCTCGTCGCGCTTTCAGAGGATTCATCGGACACTTTCCAAGTTTTCATTCTTCCAACGAGAACCGGGAGAAAGAAGGATCCCTCGGAGGACATTAAGAATTAGACGCGAAGATTTTCCATTAAATGGAACATTGATTGATTGCTGTGGATAAAGTTCTACGAGGCGGCCGCGTGATAAATGGATATTTCGGAGTACTCCGGTAATTGTTTCCTTGTCGGTGTTCTATCACATTGAACGGTATTTTCCTTCTGTATGGAAAGGACTACACGAGAGCAATAATTTGTACCATATCATGAAAGAATAAGAATGGTAGTCAATAATCATACTTTTAAGTTTACATCTGTTTCTTATTAAAATCATAATTACTTTCTCCATTTGCAAATTTTTATGTTATAAATAAATAATTAATAAATATATAATTAATAAAAGTAAGTAAGTAATAAAAGACATATTTTCCCTGAACATATTTCCGTGAAATTCATATTTTTAATGCAATACTGATGCAATATTGATTTCAACATGCGATTTCTAAAAATTATTCTGTCTAGAAAATTTTGCTATTTATAATGCGTATGCTGTTTCAATTTTTACAAGTTTGCTTCGTACAGTTACATGGTGTCTCTTGAAACAGGAAACTTTTCTCGTCTCCAACTTACCGGACCGTGATATTATTTCCCCCTAATAATGGCCTATTACTCGGCGAGTTACAAAGAGAAATGAACTACTGGAAAGAAGATAGGAAAGCGGAAACCAGTGAATACGAGTCTCGTTGCAGAGAAGTAGTAGACAATTTAAACTACAATTTTTGACGAGTTTTAAATTTTTCTTATATTATAGTGAAAATAATGTTCATATTGATTAAACAAGCGAGTCTTTTAATTACAATAATCTATAAATAAAAAGCATTTATATCAACAAATTATAAATTGAAAATGTTTTTAGTATAAAATTTATAGTTTATATCCTTTTTTGAGATGACTATATTTAAATTTATAATTTCTAAAATATAATTGGAAAGTTTTATATAATATATACGAGTATTATACAATTAAATGAAATATTGTGAATAAATTTTTTTAATATGAAATTTATATCACTTCTTTACTTTTTCAATAAAAAAAATTAAGTTTTTCAGAAAAAGGAAAGAACTATTTTTCAACTTGGCAGAACATTATTGATTAACCAAATAATATCGGCAAAAGGAATATATTCTAAATTCTTAATACAATTAAATGTTACTTTTGTTATTATCATTTCATTTTGTTATTGTAATTTTATAACTTTATAGAAATCACCTCCTTTGAGTAGTAACATTTTGACAATTTTTTATACAGTTAAATTAGTTTAGATTTCATGATTAGTAGAGAAATGTTTACCTAACTCATGCATCGAGCTCAAAAATAATTTTTTTTACATATGTCACTTTTGACATGAAGAAGTGATATTTATAAGAAGAGACACATTATACATTAAACAATTATAATTTGAATTATAAAACTATATTAAATATTTATTCTTAAAATATTAATATATTCCAAATAAATAAAATATTAATAAAATATAAATACATACTCTAAAATAATTTGTATCAAAACTTTCATTTTGCTTATAAGATATTTATTTCAGCAGATTAATATAGATAACATCAAAAATTTTAACTACTGTCATTTAATAGATTTTTTCAGTGCGAAAGAGCTGCTATTCTCCTCCTTGTCCTCTAAAACGTTTTGGTGGATGGACAGCTCGTAATGAGATCGCAACGTCGAGAATGTATCTTTTTGTTGCTCTTCATTACATCTCACGTGCTTGAAATACATTTCCGACTTCTATCATATAATCCGGTCACGCCAAATTTTGCATTCGTAATAAAGCGCACTGCAGATATTAACGAAGCATTCTCATGCTTCTATATTTTCTGTGACTTTTTGTTCGAACGACAAAAATGGTAGTTAATGATATTACCATTAAATGTATCCGAATACGTAATTAATCATGACAGGAATTAAAAATGTAAAATCTTTTTTCAAAATTGTGCTTCAGAGGTCAATTAAATATTTAAATATTATATGAGCATTATTTTAGAACTTTAACAATTAAATCAATAATTAACAAGCATGTCTTAGAAATCTATACATCTTTTTCTTTTATTAAAGTAGATTGATGAATCTCATACAATATTAAATAGACTGGACACATACAGAGAAAATAGAAAATAATTTATAAAACGGACATTTATAAACTATTTGTTTAGAAATTAATTAATATTTTATATTTAGCATTTTAATGAATATAATTGAAAGCGGTATATTTTATAGTTTATACTAAAAATTACGATTATATCAGTGAGTAAAGAAATATTACATTAGAAAACAGGCAGGATCTGCAGGCTGTGCGTTATCTGTGCATGAAACCGCACTTCTTTCGGCGTCTCTAATAAATCAGTGAGATAAAATTTATTGGGCTGGCATTCCGCAGAAATCGAGAATCGGCACATTATCCCCTTCTCGCGCTGTCGCGCGCAATCTCTAAGCGCGGAGAATATCGTCGACGCTGCCCCGCGTCGCATCGCTTATTCAAGCATGAAATTGAGTCTTACAATACCCCACCTGCCGTGGTGGAGCAGTTTTTCCTTTTCGACGCTTCATCTGCCTATCTCCCGATCATTTCTCAATTGCGTACTGAGTCTTGCGGAACCCCCAAATACCTCCTTTTGAAGGGTCAAAGGGTGGACGTGGAAATTCCCCTGTTAGTGCTTCACGTCGCTGCGTTTGATCGATCACAAACGCGTGCAAGATGTACACACGGTTGAATGCATCCATCATGTTTATTGCTGCTGTCTTGTCGTGATGGCGCAAATACTCCGTTTTTATCGATATGCAATTTTTAGTTTTGTTTGCAAATATTTTTACAATATGATTATAAATTTTAATCTAATTTAATGGAAAATATATTATATAAAATGATTTCTTAAAAATATTATAAATTAAAAAGTTAATTTTGGAATACAATTTATCCATCACAATTTAACAAAATAATCAACACATAAAAGTCTTTCTTAAATATATTAAAGTTTATATATTATCTTCTCAGATGTTAGCTGCTTCTAAGATCCTATTTTTATCATGTAAAGTTAAGGAGAATTAATTTTTCTTACAGTGCATCCTAGCAGGTGCAAAGCGGTTCAATCTGACAGTAAAGATTCACTTTAAAAGATGGAATATATGTTGATCTTATAAATTTAAATTGCATTAATTTCCGTTCTCATTTCTCAAGAAGACAGAAAAATATTTTTCATAAAATATTCTCAAAAAGAATCACATTATAAAACAATTTTTTATTTAAAAATTTATGAACGTTGCATAAAATTATTTTAATTTAATAAACAAATGTTTCGAATTAAGCAGATTATGATTATTTCATGTTTTTAATTAATTGAACTAATGTCGGTCGATCAATGTAACGTCGAAGCTACGCAATAAATTCGCTTTGATGACGACGCTCAAAGAAAGTTACGATGATACAGGCCAAGCTGCCACACCGTCGTAAATCGTCTACTCCGGTCATGCGCTGACCAGATTTATCGGTTCTTCCATGCGGGCAGATAAGGAGAAATTAATTTTCCGTAGACACCAATTTTTCACAAGTTCGTGTCGACGGCTCTAATAGCGTTTTTAAACTTTTAACTTACCTCCCCAATAACGTGTGCGTTATCTTCGTCAATTGCCACCAATTTAGATAATGTGAATTTATTAAATAAGCTAAAATTAAATCTATTTTACGAAAGCGGGTTATATAATTGTCGATTGTAATAAATCTATATTAACGTAGATCTTGTCAGCGTTAATTTTAAATGGTTTTAATGCCATGTATACAGAAAACCTTTTGTATTATGTTTCATTGTAGAACAAGAAAAAATTTACGCATCAATCTTTGTGAAATCAAAATATGAATTTGAGAAAATTTCTTTCATTGTAAGTTGTAATCATTTTTGCATTATATTATAATAACGGCTTCTATAAACATATTAATATTATAAATTTTGAGTATGCGTAGAGAGAATGCTGTCATTTTTATATCATAAAGTATTGTTATTGCATTTTTATTATTTTTTTATTATAAAATTTATTATTATAAAAATAAGTGCACAATACCAATAATTATTATGAACTTGTTAGAAATAAGATTAACAATTTTCGTTATTATAAATGTTTAATCGTAGTTTTCTTTTAGCAATAATTGAAATCCGATACTTTCATTTTCACATCAATTCCGCAATTACGCAGCACCGTTCTACATAAGCTCATAAAATTCGGCGACTGTTAATGGAGGGGCACGCTATAAACAGCCCGTACTTAAAGCCTGTGTATTAATGTGCATGAGAGGGTGCATAGCACTTTTGATTGAACATTCCTGAGAAAAGTAAAATGGTCAACTATAGCCATCAATTGTTTAATTTATTTATAGGCTACATTTACTATTTAGCATTAACGATCGCTGCTCGCAGCCATCATACAGAATATTATGGAATTTTAATTGTGTTAGTTTGTTAAGCTAAAATGTCACGGACCGTTGTAAATATTTAATCGAAACTAATATCAGAATATTTCATGTTAAATACTCTATGAAATAGAATTTCATGCAAAGTGCTAAATGTATATTAAAGATCTTGATTTGCCAACCGTTTTAATATAAGCAGAACATTATGATTGGAATGTTTTATGAATGAGAAGCGATAAAAGGCACGCAAACGTTTATAGCAAAATTGTAATAAGTGTTTACATGTAGCAAGAGAAGTCGCTCAACTGGGAAGAAAGATATGTACCTGATGCAATGATAAAACGTGGTATTAACGTGAACGTGCCATATCTTGAGAAGTCTTGATGTTAATTAGCGATATAGCTTTAACAGTTTCGATTTAATCTGCACTGGTGTTTTCCAAGCAGCCCAAATTAATTTCTATTAATTCGAAAGAATGTCAAAAAAATTATTTTAGATAGAATAAATTACTCTTTGGTATAGAGCGAGACAAAACATTAATTAAAAGTATAAAATACTTTTACATTTAAAGAGATTAACTTAAATTCTAGATACTCAATTTTTTATATTATTTTCACTATGTTATTTTACGCTATTTTCTCGCAATTCATTGACTGAGATTAAAAGATTTTTCTCATTACTGCTTGTATTACGTTACTGTAATTGAAATATGCAATATTCTCTCGACCTAAAAATACATCCATTTATAAATTAAATAATACGTTACTGTTTTAACACAAATGTTTTAATAGATTTTTAGAGGAAATTTGTTTTCCTGTGTTATCTGTATTTATTTATAATATTGTGTAAAATGTAGTATGTAAGAGAACATATATATAGCATTTTTATTGTTTAATCATATTTATTATGATTTTTTAAAAGTATAAAAGTTACTTTTTATAAATTTTGTTCATTAATTATTTATAAAAAATATATTTAAAAAAAATTTTTTTAATGATTAATTTAAGTAATGGCAGACTCTCTCTCTCTCTCTCTCTCTCTCTCTCTCTCTCTCTCTTGTGAAGAACTTTATTTACAAAAATAAAACTGTTGACAAAAATAAAATTAATGGTAAATAGATGATAAAGTTAAAAATAAAATCAACCTGAAAATAAATAAGTATCTCTCTTTCAGGACGGTC